AAACAACACTGGGCTGCGTGGGAGCCTCTCCCGAGTGCGGTGGGCTGCAGGGTTAACACTCAGGAAGACGGAGGGAGGCAGGTGGCAGACACAGCTCGTCTCAGCAGGCCTGAGCTGAGAGCTCCTGGCTTAAAGATCCATTCTCCTAAGTAGCACAGCGTGTGGCCCCCCCATTCTGTGGCTGGTGGCCGGCTGTGCCTACTGCAAGGGGGGAGCGGTGGCTCGAGTTAGAGATGAGGCTTCAGTCCCAGACTCCAGGGGCTTGTGGGAGCCTGAGCACCTGTGCTTCAGGGTCTCAGCAGAGCCACTGTCGTGTCCAGCATCTCTCCAGTCTTGACTCTGAGCAGTGGGTGTCCTTCCTGCGTCCGGTGGGCAAAGGACTGCAAGTTAGATTAGGGCCTCTTTACTCTCCTGTCCTTCAGTCTCATTTCTGGCCAAGGCTAGAAAATGTGGCTCCTCCCTGCCAGCCCTGCCCTCCAGGCATGTGCACAGCTCTGCTCAGTCCCCCAGTGGGGCCCGGTGGTGCTGGGGTGCGGGGCATGGTTGATTCCAGAGAGGGGAATCAGGAGACAACAACGGGGTGAAGGAGCAGGCTCTTGAGTAGGACTCGATGGACAGCAGGACTTTGTCCAGCAGAAATGAGTGGCGAGCTTGCTGAGCAAAGGCCCAGGGGCAGGAGGTGCTGAGCATGTCCGGGGTGCACCCAGCCCAGGGCTGAGGGACTGTCGGTCTTGAGGGGTGATGTCTTCAGAAACAAGGTTGAGAAAGGTGGCTGGAACCAGATCGTGGGGCCACTGGACTTTGTCCTGTCTGAAATGACAAGTCCTTGAGAGAGTTAACAAGAAGAGCAGGCATGGACTGGGCTAAGTGTGGAGAGACGACACCAGCACCAGCTGGCTCTGGGCCCAGGAGGGAGAGAACAGGGACAAAGGAAGGGGGACAGAGTCCCCAGGGGACAGTCCTCAGCTCCCCCCAGCCCTTTGCCTGCCTGATTACTCTTTAGATATTACATCCTCTGTAAATCCTGCGTTCCCACCCCAGCCCCACCCCAGGTTAGGAACCCTTGCTCTGTGCTCCCCGTTTCCCATCCAGGACTGCAAGAAACACATTCCCGTGGTCTAAGCCAGCAGGCTAGCTACTCTGCACCGGCACAGAGAGAGGAAGCAGTTGAGGTGGTTGGAAGTTTAGAGCCAGAGCAGCTGGAGGTGGGTGGTGTGCTAACTACACGGGACACAGCAGAGAGCAGCCCCAGCAGCCCCATTCGCACCCCCAGGCCTATCTCGGGCTTTATTCCCCGTGACCAGTTTTGAAGATTTCATCAGAACCCAGAGAATTGTTCTCTCTTTTTTCTTTTTTTAAGAAACGCGTCTGGCTGCAGCAGTTGGTGTCCCCGCGTCCTGAAATGAGTCGGGTTAGGAGAGTCCTTGAACAGAGACTGGGTTTGAACTGATCAATGGCATTTGGGGGTTGGAAGATGATTGCTCAGGAGCCAGCTAATTTATAATGTCACGTAGACTAGACAGGAAGACCCACGAGGATAGGCAGGCAGTCTCTTGGCTTTTTATTTCTTCTTTTTGAAAAAGGGAAGGGAAAACAGAGGGGCGATGCTCTCTCCGCGCTAGCGCATTGGGACACTGTGGCCGTTTCATCTCCTGCACCCACTTTCTTCCCAGAGACCCCACAGCATGGCAGCCCAGGCTGCTGCTTTGAATCCCCTGTCCTTCCCCAGCCCGGATGCCCGCCCTGTGGTTGCCGAGTCTGGCTCTAGCTAATTTGCAGGGGACACCTGTTCCGTGCATTCGCCCCAGCCTGTGGCATGTGTCTCGGCCTGGGCGTGCTCCGATGCGTGAACCAGAGGGCGCCTGCAGGGACTGCTGTGCGGCAGGCGGTCTGTGAGGTTCCTCTAAGTGGCCCTGCACCCTCCCGAGTAGCATGGTCAGTCTGTGGTCCTGAGCGTTAAAAGAAAAAAACAAAACCATATCCCAGCTGCTGTCCAGCCATGGATGTCACAGCTGTTGAGCAAACAAGGCTTCCAAAAGAGCCCTTCACACCTGTCCCCACTCTGAGGATAGACCTGCCATCCCTAGAACCAGACAGGAGAGTGCCAGGCAGGGGCGGGCCCTCATTTGAGTGCCTCTCAACCCTGGTCCCCATCACTGCGCTGGCACCTCACGCGCAGCTCTCACTCTCTCTCCTCGAGATGTGTCCATACACTTGGTCTCTTTAAGGAGAGGATGCTCTAGCGGGCTGGATCCCATCCAACAGAGTTTATGAAATGGGCCTCCTGGGAGATAGGATCTCGATAAACATCGGCCAGGGAGGGGGATGAGATGGAGTCGGCACCTGAGAAAGGACCGAAGGGAAGGGCCTGTGTAGCCTGCGGAGGCGGAATCTCCTGCCTGCCTTGGGGCTGGCTCTGCTCTCCCCGTTTTCATAGCAAAACTTTCTAAGGACCAGTGGTGAGCCATCAGACGGGAGCTGACCTCCCGTGTAAGTCACCCCCCAGGAAATTCCCAGCACCCGCAGCTGAGTGCCCGTTTCCAGTGGGAGGCATCACAGGTCAGAGGTGAAACACCTGGCCCTTGGGCACAGCAGGAGTCCGGTGGCTTCATATGTGGTCTTCCATGTGACATCTCCCTCTCCCATCCCTCAGAAGGGAAATGTGTCAGTGGAAATTCTCTCTGAAGCAGTAATTTTCCTAAATGATTTGCCTGGCAGAGAGGGGGCGGTGATTCTGCCCCTTCCTGGGTCCCCAGCCCCTCTCCCTGGGCCTGAGGGGACTGCTGAGGGCTGTCCAGACGGTCTCTTTCCTCTGCCTCCCCAGTCACTCCTGGCATG